GCTGCTGTCCGCTCGTCATGTTGAAGACGGCGGCGTCCTCTGGACTCTGCTCCGGTTTCGTCTGGATTCGTGAAGCTGCATCCTCCCACGATCAGGTGAAGGATGAAGCTCCGACTCTGTTTCTGTGTTTCTCTTGTTTCTAAAAACTCTGACGTCCAGCTGAGAAGTTTGGGGAGATTCTGGACTTCATTCTAAAAATCTGTGACTTTTTGTGTTGAAAACCCTGTTTTTCTTCAAGGACTAAATCGTGTTCAAGGTCGGGGTTAAACTCTGATCCTGCAGAGCCATTTCCTTCTCTCAGACCTGGAGGCCCAGGGCATGCCGGGTCCATCGCAGGGACCGGGTCGGCTTCTCCTCTGGAAATCGGCAAGTTGATCTGCTGCGCGTCCCCCAGCCGGCTGAGCTGCTGATCTGGAGGGACACGTGGACGGGATGGGGAACGCTGCTGGGATTAAGGGAAAGAGGTCAGAGCTGCTCTGGGAGCCGGCAGGTGATCCAGTCAGGCAGGGGAAGACGGGCGACATTGTGCTGATGGGTCGCCGACGGCAGCAGCGGCTCTGGAGGGAAGTGCAGGACTGCTTCCCGGATCCGGCTGCTTTCTGACTCCGGTCTGTTTGTTTGACTGAAACCTGAGTCAGATGAACAAGCGGGAACAAATCATCGAGCCGTGAAGGTTCTCTCAAGTCAAAGATAAATAAACAGACAGAAAAACCTGTTTTGATGCCGAGGACATTCCGTTCCCAATCCTGAAGCCGATGCAGGATCACTGCAGTCGCGGTGCATCGGGTCCAATGAGGACACATTTGGAAGGAAAAGACATTATTCCAGATTGGCCGTATTTCATCCTTTATATCATTTCCATTCCTTGTCCTGCCTGCAGCCGATTCCAACAGGTTGAGGAGGAGACGGATAGGAGCGGTGTGCATGGCAGACCTTCATCCTGCTGTGAACTTTGACCCCACAAGTTGTTCTGAATCCAGAACCAGTTGTACCTGAAGGACAGAGGTCGGTCCGCAGAGCCTTGATCTGCCTCCCAGCTGTTAATGATCGTTAGCAGTTTATTATTGCAAACGAAATTTTTAGTGTTTGTTTACTAAAATATTCTATTCTATTGTTACTCTCACAATTAATTTGATTAATAAAAACAGATAAAATAAATTATTAATAAATCTAACAGCAGTGTTACTATCATATCAACATGAGCTTTCCTAACAATAACTTTTTTGTAGATTAGTAACAATAATAACTCATTTTCTAAATTCATCTGAAGAAAAATAATATAAGAATCTGAAATTATATTCAATTTAATAATAAATATGATTGTAAAATAACGCTCCAGGTCGTTGCGGCGCTTTGGACCAGAGAGCTGCAACTCCAACAACGTGCGAGACGCGAACCGGCCCCGACCAACCCGGACACCAGTCCACCCCATCCTGGACATGATGCTGCTAACATTTAGCTTTCCACAACAACTCTGAAGGACGTCAGAGTGCTGCGCAACGCGAATAATGACCCAGCGGGAAAGCGACGCTCTAAAAAATAAACCGTAATTTAACCAGGCAGATACATTTTCATTGAAGAATTTTAATAATCAAGTAACTCAAATTATTCAAGGAATCGTTACAGCTCTACAATTTATGAACAAAGATGAATGAAAAAAGTAGAATCGAGTCAAACTAGCAAAAATGAAAAGCAGATTAGGAATGAAGTGAACGGCGCCAACAGCAGGCGCTGCCTGCATGACCACAACAAGCACAGGTCACTGCACCGCATTGAAGCAGGAGCAGCTAGCATGCAGCCAGCTAGCATGCAACCAGCTAGCATGCAACCGGCTAGCATGCAACCTGATAGCATGCAACCTGCTAGCATGCAACCGGCTAGCATGCAACCAGCTAGCATGCAACCAGCTAGCATGCAACCGGCTAGCATGCAACTGGCTAGCATTCAACCGCCTAGCATGCAACCAGCTAGCATGCAACCAGCTAGCATGCAACTGGGTAGCATGCAACCAGCTAGCATGCAACCGGCTAGCATGCAACCTGCTAGCGTGCAACCGGCTAGCATGCAACCGGCTAGCATGCAACCGGCTAGCATGCAACCGGCTAGCATGCAACCAGCTAGCATGCAACCAGCTAGCATGCAACCGGCTAGCATGCAACCGGCTAGCATGCAACCGGCTAGCATGCAACCGGCTAGCATGCAACCAGCTAGCATGCAACCGGCTAGCATGCAACCTGCTAGCATGCAACCGGCTAGCATGCAACCTGCTAGCGTGCAACCGGCTGGCACGCAACCAGCTAGCATGCAACCGGCTAGCATGCAACCGGCTAGCATGCAACTGGCTAGCATTCAACCGGCTAGCATGCAACCAGCTAGCATGCAACCAGGTAGCATGCAACTGGGTAGCATGCAACCAGCTAGCATGCAACCGGCTAGCATGCAACCTGCTAGCATGCAACCGGCTAGCATGCAACCAGCTAGCATGCAACCAGCTAGCATGCAACCGGGCTAGCATGCAACCTGCTAGCATGCAACGGCTAGCATGCAACCTGCTAGCGTGCAACCGGCTGGCACGCAACCAGCTAGCATGCAACCGGCTAGCATGCAACCGGCTAGCATGCAACCTGCTAGCATGCAACCGGCTAGCATGCAACCTGCTAGCGTGCAACCGGCTAACACGCAATTTGCTAGCACGCAACCGGCTAGCATGCAACCTGCTAGTGTGCAACCGGCTAGCATGCAATTTGCTAGCATGCAACCGGCTAGCATGCAACCGGCTAGCACGCAACCTGCTAGCATGCAACCTGCTAGCATGCAACCTGCTAGCATGCCACCGGCTAGCATACAACCGGCTAGCATGCAACCGGCTAGCATGCAACCTGCTAGCATGCAACCTGCTAGCGTGCAACTGGCTCGTTGGTCAAATCCTGATCAATGAGCAGTAAGGATTCAAATCAACAGACTGAAACACAACTTCAAGACTAACAAACTCAATAATAAAAAGGAAAAATCAGCAAAACAAATCATACAATGACATCATGCCTGAGCAAGGAGGAAGAGGAGCAGCAGACAGGATGATGAAGGCAGACCAGGTCCAACGCTTCAGAACCAGGAAACCTCAGCATCAGAGATCAGAACCTGGTGCCTGAACTTTGACACAGAATATCAGAACCGCTCTTCAGAAATAACGTGGTACGAAATGATCTCAGACTCTTAGCCACGGCTCGGTCTGACTGACGGGATTCCAGCCATGTTCCGGTCCAACAGAACCGAACCGGGCCTGTTCTAGTGAACGGTAGCGCTGGTTCTGCTGGAGGTTTCTTCCTGTTCGAGGGGAGGGGAGTTTTCTGCTGCTGGGATCCCTCTGCCAGAAGATTAATCTGAATAAACTGAAATCATTTGTTGTCTGCGACAGACTGGCGACCTGTCCAGGTGACCCCGCCTCTCGCCCGGCACGCAGCTGGAGAGGAACAAGCACCTCCCAACCCCTAGGGACAAGGGTGGACAGAAAATGGATGGATGGACATTTGCTGTGAAATGTTGTACCATCAATCAAACTGGAGTGAATATTTGATCAGCTGTTCCAGCAGGATAGTGGAGGACAGGGACAGAAGACCAGCTGGGACTCTTCTTGTCCTCTGAAGCAGAGTGCTTTTATTTTGTCCAACCACAGCCTGAAGCAACTTCCTGTTCCTCCCATCTGCTGTCCAGGGGTAAGTGGGTCTCTGCTTTTGTCCCGTCTTGGGGTCAGACGAGTTCAGCTCTCTGAACAAAGAGTCGTGTCAGATTTTCCGAGAGCTTTCAGCTGCTGCTCCTCTCAGCAGGTGCTCCACCTTTCATCCTCCTAATGTCGCTTTTCCTCGCTGCAGAGAAACAGAGCAGACTTACTGAAAGCTCCAGGAACGACGTGTTGAAGTTACAGCTGCTCCCTGTTAACGTCCAGGTAGAGACAACATGATGAAACCTGACATTTCTTCTGCTGGGGAGAGAAATATAAAAAACGTCTTCAATGAAAGACAGAAAGAGGCAGAGAGGCTGTGAGGGGCAGGACAGCAGCGTCCAGTCGTCCTCCATGAGACAGCCGAGTCTTCCTCAAGTCTGGACTACAAACCGCCAGCCTGGACGCAGGACGTCGTCTGGTCTTACGGGACAAACTGGAGCCTCTGGACACAGTTCAGAAAGGAAAGAAGAGCTTCACTCGGTGCATCACCGCCACCAGGCGACGCGTCGCTTTTTATCAATATGACGTTACATTTTTATACATCTGGAACTGCAATAGCAAAGTGGGCGAACCAGAGTCAGGGTCATGATTGGCCGGCCAGCACTGGAAGAAACCTGTCTCTTAAAACGTCTCAGCCACGGCCGAGCACGGCGGCGGCCACATCATGATCCGGGGTTCCCTCCTGAGGAACTGTCAGCAGGAAGTGATTCAACCACCAAGCAGGAAGTCACATGGTGTCCTGCGGTCAGATTCCCCCGGCGCCTCGTCTCTCTGCTCTTCTCCTCACAGGTTCAGAAATCAAAACGCTTCATAAAACTTTTTTTTTCTGAATATTTTCTCATTTAAAACCCAGATGCTAAAAGCTCTGCTGAGGGACACAGTGACACCTAGTGGCGCAAATGGCAACTAGCAGACGCTGAAGGCCAGGAGGGTTTGAATGTGAGGAAGAAGCTTTGATCATTTTCTGTTGCTCAGACCTGCTGGGGGACAGGTGGGGACAGGTGGGACAGGTGGGCCCCTCGGATAGGGCCCTTCAGAGCAGCAACTTCCTCCAGCCAATCAGCAG